AAGATGTGGGCATTGTAGAAACCCATGACACAGTAGAAAAATGTTCATCTCTTCTGTCATCAAGTAATTGTTGATGTTGTGCTTGATGTAGTTGTTGTTTATGAAAGAATAGTTTTTGTAATTTAATTTACATTTACTTTAAGTTAATTTCATTTGATCATCACCGATTAATTAAACAAGAAAATAATACAAGACAGTGGATTAAAATTCAGTAAATAATAAACTTATTCACTTCAATTAAGTGATAAACAAAATACTAAAATCATTCGCTTCAATTAAGTAATAAAATAAATAAATTAAGTCATAAAAGGTAAATAATTAATAAACAAGAAAATTGATTAAAATGCACTAAATGATAAAACCATTCACTTGAATTAATTAATAAACAAAATAAATTAAGTATTAAACGGTAAATAATTAAAAATTATAATTCTTTGTAAAAAACTTAAATACAAATATAATGAAATTTATGAATCTATCGATGCATGCATCTTGAATGTGTTCCGCATAGCGATGATTGTCTTTCTCGAGGAGGATTTCTTTGTATAACTTGTTCTGACTCCTCACTCTTATCATCATCATCATCACCATCATCATCATCATCATCATCATCGTTGTCATCATCAGGAGCAGATACATTTTTTTGATGAGGAACGAATGACGATGTAGCATCTCCATAGAATAAGGACCCTGGAGGTGTATGACTGACTATCCCACCGCTCATAAAAAATTGGAAAACTAAGAAAATACCAACATCGATGAGTAAGAAAATTGTACATGAGGTGTCTGTGCGACGGCCATCAGTGGTGATGTTGGACCCGCCAAATAACCAGTATATGAACCCCAGTTGGATCTACAAACATAAAACTATAATATCCTCCAAGAGAGGTCATATAACTATGCGGCAGTCGTAGCATCTGATATGGCTGCGGAGCCATATGAAACGGCTGTGGGGTGTACATCGGTGTAGACGGTGGCTGATGTGAAGGTTTCGATGTTGTAGCTGAGGACAAACTGGAAGCACCTACTATTCGTCCACGAGTCGGGGGACGATGGGATTATGACGGTGGACGTCGATGAACGCTTTCTCCTCGTGCTTCCTCGAAAAGAAGGAACGGTTTCTCATTCCTATTGAACCACTCGTAATAACCACCTGCAACCATCAAATCGTCCACATAAATGGGTTCTCTACAGGGAATGCGCCCACGTCGATCCTCCCATATCATGACCCACTTATAATCCTTCAGTAGCCAATTTACATATTTTTTTTCGTGTTGATCGGTGTTATGCAACTCGTCGAGATTTTGAGGTGCTTTCAGAATTGATTGTACAAAACCAAATTGTTGAGGCACGCGATCAGTCACTACAACAAATTTTCTTGTTAGTGGCATCTAGGTTATTGTCACTAAAACTTCCATTTATGTCACTAGATGTATTTTGTGACATAAAAGTCAATGTCATGACGATCGTCACCCTAAGTGTGTCACTAAATGTCAAAAGTGACGATGTATGTGTTATCGTCATGTATTATTAAATATATAGTGACGCTAATGGATAACATCATAGTTTAATTTGCATTCACTGACAATTACTTTTGTCACCAAATGATGTACATTTTCGTCATTAATAAATCATATCGCCACCAATAACACAATAATTTCATTGTATACGTGACGAAAAGAAAATTGTCACATTGTTAGTAACGTAGTATATCGTCACCTAATAGTAGCATGTCATCGTCACAGATAATACATTAAAATCAACATATATGTGACGAAAGGGATATTGTCACATTTTTAGTGACATAATATATATGTTACCTAATAATATTATGAATGACATTTATGCATAACGTCACTTTATAATTTATATTCTATGACAGTTGGTTACATCACTAAATTAAATAAGATTTCGTTATTGATAATTTATATTATCACAAGAAATGCATTAAAATCAACTTATATGTGACGAAAGAGATATTGTAGCAAAACACAAATAATTTATATTCTATGACATTTTTAATGACAATATTTATTAAAATAAAATTATTTATACAAATCTAAGTAAAAAATAAAATAGTTCACTTATTGTAAAATAATAAGATTTAAACAAATATTTCACTAAATACATAATAATTTCATTTCTATAAATATAAAGGTGTTTAAATGTTTACAGAAAATAAAAATAATATGATAATAATATGACTTGTGGAATATTTCGTTGAAGCAATCTCAATCCAAACCTTGAGTCGATTGTATTTTGTTGATGTTGAGTTCATGGTATCATTTGAAGCTACAAATTAAAATAATCAACATTAATTACTACAATCCTTACCTCGACTTGGTCCTCGTACCTTTTTATGTGATAAATTGACTGAATCTATAAAATAAAAATATTAACTTTGGAATAATAAATAAATAAATTATTCAACGTTAAAGTCAAAGACTTTGCTACAAAGAAAATAATATGTATATATACATATTCTTAGTTTTTATATTTTTTTAATTATGTCATTGTTACTACTCAATCCTCATTTGCTATTCATTTATATAAATATTGAAAATAATGTTTACCTGAATTTTTAATTGTTGTATCTGGATCAATTTCTTCATGTGTTTGATTTAGAACATCAGTAACTTGTTGAGGTTCAGATTCTTGGGTTCGATTTAGTTTACTGGAGACTTTTTTAGTTTCATTTTCTTGTGTTCAAATCCTTTTACGAGATACTTTGCCTGGTGCCATCCTAAAACATATAAAAACTATTATAAATACTTTCATCATCTTTTGCAATCGATTGCTCTTAGATATTAGAGGGAACTGCAAAGGTGCATTAAACCACAACTAAAATCATCAATTATTATAGCACAACTGCTCTCCACTGGCAAAGCATTCTACAACTTAATTCATAAACACAACAGTTCGGTTACACTAAGAGAATGATTCATTTGTAATCCAACTACATTGATAATTATGCTGCAACAGTTTTTGTTCCAACATCAATAGTATCTTGAACAACTTAATATTAAAAAGGGTCAGGCAAAATTAGTCTTTCATTATCAATAGCACATCAATCTGGATGTGTTAATGATAGGAGGAATTAATACAAAACTTTGGACATCCCAAGACTTCTTGCATTTTGTTGATTTTAAGTTCAATATAGAAGGAAATTTCAAGGTCTAAGGATCTGAATATAAAACCAATTATTTCTCCCTATAGAAAATGCACGGGTGTCATAATCAAATTGCAGAAAAAGTTTTGATAACAGCCTTCTTAGCCCTGTCAATAGCTTGATCAGTCTCATCCATCATCTGGTTTCCTCTATCCATTAGTTGTTGATTTGTCATAGCTGCAGAACATACAGGTTGTCTCAGAAGAAGTTCAAAATTGAAGAAAAATACGATACCTACAAATCATTTTCGGTACATTCTAACAACATCCCAAGAATCAATGTAAAGGACTCAGAATTGGATGAGGCAGAACGGTAGAACAAAGCTTCATAGTAAGATCATTTCTAGAAATTCATGTTGCCATACTAACAGAATATATTAGCCATTAGATACAGCTCTGATCAACGTTCGAATATCCTCAATCTCTAAAGAATTTTCTGGTCTCAACACAATTTCCTTCTCAACAAGCTTATCCAGCAACTTGATTGCCTGATCAAATTCATTCGCCTTGCAAAAATTTTCAATCAAGACACCATAATGACCAGCCTCTATTGGAATACTCAATCGAATCATTGCCTTGAGCACATCAGAAGATGCCTTCATATCACCAGATTTGCAGACTATTTAACAGCTTGATGAAAATTGAATTATCCTTAGGTGCAATATACCTCTCCACCATCTCCTTCAAAATAGTCTTAGCCTCATTTTGTCTTGCCCGCATCACACAGCCCTGGCAATAAAGTTGACTACGTTATTACATTAGGCTTTATACCAATGGACTTCATCTCTTCAAAGAATCTCAACCCATCATCAACTTGCTCCACTACAACATACCCGTTTATCGTGGTAGTGTAGCTGATTATTGTAGGGGCTAAGTTCTTCGCCTTCGTCTCTACAAACAACTTCTCATCTTCCTCCATTCTCTTGAACTGAGTATATCCATTAATCAATGTATTATACGTCACAGTATCAGGTGCAATGCCCCTAGTCTTCATATCTTCATAAAATCGATTAGCAGTGTCGAGTCTCATCGACAAAAAAAATCCCCAATCAATGTATTATATGTCACAACATCAGGTGCAATGCCCCTAGTCTTCATATCTATATAAAACTGATTAGCAGTGTCAAGTCTCAACGACAAAAAGAATCCCCAAAGCATGATATTATATGTATGACGAGTAGGCTCTATCCCTTCACTCAACATCTTATTGAAATACCTTTTGGCCATCATATATTGACCACGTCACAATATAACCTTAAAGAAAGCATCATATTGATAGTCCTGTCCATACCCAACTCCTCCATTTTCTGGAAAATTTTGACAGCTTCTTGAACTATATCAGCTTTCCCATAACTATCAATCATAAGAACAAAGAAATCCTCATCCCATTCAACGCCCTTTTTGGGCATGTCCAGAAATGGTATTCAGGTGATACTAGAGCATAGGATATGGTACTTGTGAGCTCATCATCATAAACTGGAATAACAGTGTCATTAACACCCACCGGAAGAAGCAGCCTAGCCCTACCTTGCAGTTCCAACTCTTTAAACGATGAAATATTGAACCGATCATATATATTTAATGTATCAAGGTTTGAAGAACTTCTTAAAATGTTTTTGTTCGAAAGATGAAAGATAGAAACTCAAGAAAGGCATTTTTAACCAGCTAACAAATTCTACCATATTTTCAGAACCTGTACTGAGTAATGTAGGGGAAGGAGAAAAAAAAATCTTTGGCACAATATTTTATTCAGAACGGTCTTCCAAATATACAACAACAATTTCAGGAAGTGAAAACGAATTTTTCTTGGATAATACAGGTCCTCGCTGAATTTCTCCAATCCAAGCAGCATCAAGGGTATGTGATAAATTTTCTAGGACAGGAAACTGGCCTTCAGACATGGCCCTGCGAACATTTCCTTTCGTTTCTCATTGTCATATTGGTCAAACATGCTTTGGCTAGAAGAAATATTGCCATAGTCTTCATGTCCACAATTTGAACTTTCGTTCATGTCTGGTTCTTGATGGATTGCATCTGACTGATTAGCATTAAGCTTTGCATCCACCACAGTAGAGTCGCCAGATTCAGATCCTTTTCCATGTTCCGACGTATCCATGTCCTTGACCATTTCAATATCAATAACCGGTTTCTCTTCATGTCTTGTAATCGAATTGCTGAAACAGTTCTAGGGGCTGTAATTTTCTAGTTTGGCTGCAAAAACTTATTATAGCTTCAGCTTGATGCAGGAAAACACAAGAAAGCAAGGAGAAAACACCAAATACTGAATTACCTGTTAGTGCAACTGAGTTTTGACTACATCAAGCGGGGTACTGATAACCGGAGCAGAAGCCCCAGCAAGAGCACCCGCCGTAGCATGGAAAATCACTCGTTCATCACTTACACTCTGGTGAAATCTCAATCAAACCCCTTTTTACTGCCTCGTAAGTTGCGAAATGAACTGTCGTATACGGCGCATTCATGAGCACTGTCATCCTGTAAGAAGCATAAAACAACCGAAAACCTTCCTCTTTCAAAACTTTTTAACACAATCAAACACACATTCATAAGCACCACTCTTGCCCAACTGTAACCCCTGTTTCACCATATCCATAGGCTTATAAACGGCGTCGCTTGCTACCGTCGCAAAAACACCGAAAAGATCATGAGTCGCAGGTTTATTCGGGTTCATACCGGAAAAAATGACTCACTTGCTAAAGGACTTCCCATGTTTTTGTCAGGATGTACAAGCATGGACTGTCAAAATAGAATTCCAAGAAATTAAATCGAGAAAATTAGGGAATACTAAAGACATGGAAAACAGAAGAAGGCTTAATGATGGTTCCTTTCGAAAATGGTTCCTAATTTTAATTACAAATTGCAGAAATAGACAAATCAAAAGTGTAAGGTTTCTATTAGGATAGCATCTACCTTTTTTCGGTATTCCTTTTTCAGGATGTTATTGATGGAACCATTCCTGAAGTTTGCCGAACTGGGCAAATCAGGAACCATCGTTAGGAACTCCATGCCCTTCATTGCGGCTGACCATTAAACCACTCTCCATTTCCCGTGTAAAGCTTCTCCAAACACAATAAGCAAGCTAACTTCAAAGTTAACAATCCCTAATTCTTATTTCATCAAGTAAGTCACCTCTCTCACAATACCATTCTCTTATTGTGATAGTAAACAACTCAATGTTTTATAATATTAGTTTTTTTTATATAAAAGAGTAATATTTTATATTTTAAAATTATTGATGTTATATGCATCTAAATATATTAAAACTGTATAAGTATTTCTATGATAAGTATAAATATTTATTTTTTCTTAAACACTTTGATGTGACAACATAGAAATCATAGAAGTATAATAATATATATAAAAATCTTTTGATAATTTCTTTTTTACGATTTTATTATTTTTTGTTTTATTCTAAAAAACTTTGAATGCGAGATAATCTAATATAGAATAATTTCAATAAAATAAAAAACACAAAAAACTCTATAAATTGCATTATTTAATAAGGTTGTTAGATTATCTTATTTTTTAACATTAAGTGATATAATTTCATGACGTCTTTTGAAATCGTCATATAAAAAAGATAGAGAAAAACCAATGACAAATAATTGATTTCGTCGTGATAAAACTATTTTTTGTGACAATAATAAAATGTCACTTTTAGTGTCTTATAAAATATGACAAATTAAATTGTCACGAATAAAACTTATTAGTGACAAATGTGCAACGCCGCTAATTCAAATTGAATCGTCATTATAATAAATCGTCATTATAATAAATCATCACTAATACATGTTTTTTATTGGAGACGATTTTACAACGTCGTTATTTTATCTAAATGTCATTAAAATGTTTCCCATCACAAAAATTGGTTGGAAGATTTTGACGCCAAACATATAGTGACAAAAATCAATGACTATTTTTAAAATTGTCATAAAAGATATACCATTAATTAATAAATATGACGAAAATAAAAAACGTCACATTATAGTATGTTTTGTGACGATATACGTAACGTCATGTAGAAATTTTGTCATAAATTGACAAATTTGTTGTAGTGAGTGGGGTACCACTCAACAATCGCATAACAAATCAGAGGGACCACAACCATCCAAACATCTAATGGGTCTCTTAAGTTGTGTGGGATACAAATCCTCATTTCTTCGGTACAATAAGGAGCCTGTTCAAACTAAAATAAATATATATAATTCTTATCAAAATAATAATCTAATTATATAATGATAATTAAAAATAAATTTTGTTATTTAAATACGTACCTCTGTGCCAGCCTTTTGATCAATGAGTAGCCTAGTTGATTCTAATTCATCAGGTAAATCACAATGATCTTTCCTTGCAGTATACCACCTATTCAATGAAATAATTTTTATTATATACTAGATAAAATGATTAATATTGGAAATCAGTATTGTAATTACCTCAATAATAACGTGAAGACCAACGAGTTCTTCACAATCGGACATAAAGGGCATGCGATACCACGCCCAAGACTGTAGTAGAAGGAGATATCCGTCGATAGCATTTTTCCTATAGTCAGTAGCACGACACATTTGCCTGTGCAGGAATGCCAAAACTGCCGATCCCCAACTCAGTGTGTCATCCAGATGAAAATCGGTGAGATACCTCAACCACATACAGTGAACTTGATTGTGCGATTTGTCTGGCATCAAGAGCCCTCCTATCAGTTGTAATATGCTTGACCGTGCATACATTTTTACCTGCTCCTACGAGGCGTCGCTACTCAAATGATTGAAATTTGCATCCAACCAAGTTAACGGAATCCGACCACCGTTAAAATTTGGCAGGACACCTCCAAGATACTCATGACACAATGAATTCCAGTTACCGTGCGCCACCCCAGAAAGCACACCTTCATCTACCGGAAGCCCCAAGTGTATGGAAACATCCTCCAGCGTGATCATGCACTCTCCACACAGAAGATGGAATGTGTGTGCCTCAGGTCTCCACCACTCGACCAATGCAGAAATCATGTTGGATTCTACGTTACAGTGCCCTTCGTATCTAGCTACGTAACAGAATCTAGCCTCGACTAGATACGGCCAGAGACGGATTGGAATCTCTAACTTAAGATTACAGATAAATGGATCTAATATACTATCTCTCTTCTAATTTAATAAATATTATAGAAATTAATATATAAACTAATAATAATAAATAAATAAATAAATTATTACCAATAATTAAAATTAAAATATAATTTAAAAATATTACCGTATCAGTAAAATGCCTAGAGATATGATGTCCATCTAAACGAAGCAGACCGCCTTCTATTTTATAACTGCAAAAAAATAAATAATTAACATAATACTAAAAATGTGCAAATGGAGGTGAATTGATAAAAATCTATTAAGGGACCAAGGAGAGAAAAAGACAAGACAATGAACACAAGGATTTACAGTGGTTCGACTTTTCAATTAAGTCTACCTCCACTACTTTAGCTCCTCACTAAGGATTTTCTAACAAATTCATTAATATGTTCATTCTTTTTCAAGGATCAAGAGTAACATTTACAACTCCCTATCTTTTCACTTGCCTAAGATAGAAGCAAACCCCTTTTACAAAAGGATAAAAAAAGTAAACAAATAAACCTCTTAAAGGTAGGTGCTTACAAAGAATTAAGCTCACAAGAACAAAATATTTACAAGAGAATTAGAATAAACAATGAAAAGATCTTCTCTTGTGTTTGATTGCTTGGATAGGTGTTCTAACCCTTCTTCAAGTGTCATCGGCTTGTATTTATATGATGGAATGTTGTTGTGGTCGTTTCTAGCCGTTGGGGATCAATTTTCGTGCAAAATAAAACTGTCCAGAACAGAGGGTATTGATACTACCGTTGTTATTTTTAAATCAACTAACCGTTGGGGCCTGATGGTATCGATACTATGTCTATGGTATCGATACTACTATGTAGAGTAGTATCGGTACCCCTTTGGGTATCGGTACCATTTTTGCATTATGGAATTTGAGCATTCCTGGTAGTATCGATACTACCTAGTGAGTATTGATACTTCTCTTACCTTTGGTATCAGTACCATATGAATAATATCATTATTGTTCATTAGGTATCGATACTGTAAGAATAGTATCGGTACTGCTTGTCCAGAAAAATGTTTTGTGCTCAATTCCAAGCTTTAAGGACTTTGAATTATTTTTGAAAAACTTTGAAAACTTTGAATAAATTCAATTCATGTCCAAAAACATTTTGCCTTAATTGTTATATAAAAACATAGTTCAACAATCTCCCCCTTTTTGATATAACATAACATTTGAAAATTTGTTTTTGGCAAAACTCCCCCTTAATAAAATGTTTAATGAAAAGATACTAATTGTTGGAAAATTTGTGAAAATGTTCAGCCCCTTTTTCATTAAGAAATTGAATGTTTCAAACCATACTTCTTCCCCTTTTTGTTAGATCAAATATAATTCAACTTTAAAGTTAAAAAAAATAACATTTGAGAGTAAGTGATAAATTTTATCATAAAATCATTTGAAAAATCAAAAGCCCCCCAAATGCATTCCAAACAAAAATTGACTTTAAAAGCTTGACACTTAAACAAAATTGAATTTCAACAAAGAGTAACAAACATGTTAGTAGCACATGAAATTCAATATATCCAAGTCTAAAACACTTTATGCAATACCAATAATTGAAATTAAGTACATGAGGAAAAAGCTTTCAAAATGTTATGCATTTGAAGAATTTAATATCAGTTGCTAGAGAGATATCTTTTTCTTTTAAAAACATATGCATAAACTTTTAAATTTAGGTCAAAAATTTAAAATTTGTAAAATCAAAGCATTTGAAAAGTTTGATATCAATTGTTAGAGAGATATCATTTGCATTTAAAACCAATTTTGACCAAAATTCATTATGATGAACTAAAAATTATGAAAATCATTAAAAATTTAAAATGTCCATCATAAAACTTTTTCAACATACATGAGATGAAAAACAAAACATAGACATTTAAGATCAAAACTCGTGCATGCTTAAAGAAACAAATGAGCAACCAATTATGCAAAATTAAAAAGCTTTTAAGCTTAGAGGTTACCCATTCCTTTTTAGTGTGGCTAGAGCATCTTGATTTCTTCATTTTCAACACCATTGCTCTCACACACCTACAAGAGACATTTAAGTAGATTTCGATATCCAAATTGCTTTGGATCCTTGAACATTATTTTCAATGCCTCTTGATCCCTTAGGAACCCATACTTGTCTAATTTTAAAAGATTTTCTTTTATTTATGGGACAAGTATGTTCCAAATGACCATAAAAATGCAATGTGAGCATTTTGCCATTTTCAAACATAATGAGTTGTTTTTAGAAATTGATTCTTTTTCTTTTGCTAAGCTCTCAAACTTAACTTTCAAATCAAAATTTTCTTTTTCTAAATCATTGATTTTGACTTTTGAAAGTTCTAAATAATTTTTCAAAATTTCATTTTGATTCTCAAAATCAACTTTTTTCTTTCAAAACCAAATCATTTTCAACTTTAAGTTTTGAAATCAATTTCTTATATTTGGAATATATGGTCTCAAATTCGAAATACAACTCATTCTAAGCATCTTGTAACTCATCAAAAGAATGTGAATTTAAATCATTTGAGTTAGAAGATACCATTGATTCTCCTTCGATGGCCATGAGGCATAGGTTGGCTACTTCATCTTCATCATTTGAGTCATCTTCATCACTCTAAGCAGCTACAAATACCTTTTTCTTTAGGAGAGGACATTCATACTTGACATGCCTCATTCTTTGACAATTGAAGCACATCGGAGGACTTTTCTTCTTGGTCGATTTATGTTTCACTTCCTTGAAAGTCATGAATCTCTTGAACTTTTTGAAGAGCTTGGCCATTTCTTTTTCTTCATCATCATCTTCATATACCTCTTCACTTTAATCTTGATGGCTCTCATTGGTGGACTTGAAGGCAATGCCTACTTCTTTCTTCTTCTTGTTTTGCTTCTCTTCATTTTCTTCCTCTTTCTTTACCATCAACTCATGAGTGCGAAGAGAACCAATTAACTCGTTGAGAGTGAGAGACTTTAGGTCTCTAGCTTCGATAATTGATGTCTTCTTCTA